TTTTTGTGGTACCATGACAGCATATTATTAACACTAAAAGAAAGATGTTTAAAAGCATTGGCACATTGGAAATTATTGACTCACTCTCTCTGTAGGTTTTTGTGTCTCATATTTCACATATTAAATTAATCCAAGTGTAATATCCAGGTTTACAGTACAACTGACCTACACAGTTTTGTATCATTTTGAATGTATTCATTATTTATGTCAGAACCAAGCCTGCTCTGTTTTGCACAAACTTTGATTTCAATTTCTAAAAATCAGTCATCTGTCTTAATAATTCAAAAACCATTTATTAGGGGCACATTTCTTGAACTTTTCTGTTATGCCAGCATGCCTTTTCTGCATTGAATGGAATATATACAGCAGAAAAATTAATGTTCTAATAATGCTTTTTTGGTTTAATACAAAAAGTTCCTGCTAAGAATACTAGTAATAAGAAATCTCAAGTTCCCATTTCTTTGTGTTGTAGAGATGAGCCACGGGCTGTAGAACCATTGGATCCACCCCAGGGAAGCACCCCGGGGGACAGGGTTGTGTTTGAAGGATTTGAGGAGGGAACCCCTGAGGAAGAATTAAAGCCCAAGAAAAAAGTCTGGGAAAAATTACAGGTACAGTGTTAGAGTGGACTCATCACAGACTTAATATTGACATGTCGTATTGTAAACAAAATAATATTTGCAGCAACATTTATTCATTTGTAAGTTTTGAACCTTTTTGTGACTAGAGACTGTGAAGAAACATTCTACATAAAGGCACACACAATTAAATATGGAATGGTTAGCAGCAAGAGATATTCACCAAGTAAACAAAGATCGTAAAAACGTGTAAAATATCTCTCGCACATGAATAAAAGTGTATGTCTGAGTGAGATTTTGCTAAGGTAATATTTTCTTTATTTGTAGGTGGATTTGAGAGTGGATGGGGACAGCATAGCTGAATGGCAGGGTCACATAATGAAAACAAAACTAGGAAATGTCACGGCCAACAGTCTAAAATGTGTTCCTATCAAGTGATAGAAAAAAACTTCCTTTAGAGACCACAGTGCTTTGTTATTTATTATCATTTTGTTTCTTTATGACAAAATCAATTTTTGTGAAGTCACCCAATCTTATACAATCTACTTTTTTTTATTATCTCTGGGTATGACCATCATTTCTGCAAAAAATGAGAATTAAAGTGTATTCATAAATTAATATTTTTTTTACACTTTGGAGCTTGTTTTATTTTTGGTGCATATATCGAAGATATTTTGTAGATTTGTAAATTGAATTTTACTGTTTTATTTAATACATTTAAATAAATTTTTTGAAGACCACCTGGGAATGAAGCTTATTGTTTTTGATAGGTTTGTACAAATGAATGTAAGTCAAGGCTTTGGGAGGCAGTTTGTTTAATGTAATGACAGAGTAAAGTATACATGTAGGTAGCACATGTCGTGTTCTTTTATTCAGTGTAAAAAATAAAAAGTCAGAAGACATCTTCCCCAATAATATATAATTTCCACATTGAATTTGTCATTTAAGTACATGTATTGCCACTTTTACAAGTTCTCTCACAAAAAATTAAGGTACTTTATAAGGCATTTTATTTTGTGCATGATACCAGAGGATGGTGTTTTCGACATAATCCTATTGGAAATCACAAATTACCAATATCAAAATTTTTGGCGTTTTTCTTTTTAAAGACATTTTGAAAACACTTCAGAAATCAAAAGGTGATGCTAATTATCAATATTTAATACGTATATAATTTGAAGAGCTCGAACCAAGGGCCTCTGGCGTACTATACAAGTGCTTTAACCACTGAGCTGCTAAGACCTGATATATAGACTGACTTCCCACACTTGTGAACCAGGTGACACTAAAATCCCTAAAACAGCCAAACTTTTTCGTATGTCTCCATAATTCATGTATTTGAGGTTCATAACCTTGTAAATCTGAATGAGAAAGTATTTTGTGTGCTATATGTACTATGTGCATGCTATGTACCAGCATATCATTAATATCTATATTAATGTATTTTTAAAACTCGTCAAAATTAAAGTTTAATTTTTTTCTTATCCATGTAAGTGTGAATAAGAGTGAAGTGGTCCGTAACTTCACAAATCAAAGATTACATAAATAAAATTTGAATTAGACTTCTTAAACAAAGCATATTCTGTTAAATTCATGTATTTGTTGGAAATGTTATACTAGTCTTGTCTATCCATAATGAAATTGATGTTTTATTGTATTTTTATTTTATTTCGATATACTCATGCTATTCAAATTAAGGAAAAACTTCATTGCTAAAATTAAAATTCATTCTCTGGGATAGAGAGTATGTTAGGCCACAGTAAAGGAGATGGGCGAACATAGCGTGCAGAAAGCCAATAGCTTCAAATACATGTATATAAAAATCATGTTCAATTTGTGAAATCAGAGTAAAGTTCTCATTATTGAAATGTATGAAATTATGATAAACAAAACTTTAATGAGGAAAATTTTCTAGGAAAATTTATTCTTTTCAAAAAAAAAAATTAATAATATGATATTCGTGGGGGTTCGAACCCTAGCAATAAAAACCCTGAGTATCATTTTCTTTCGGGACTAGCACGCTAACCACTAGAATACGCAAGATCTGATGAATAGTGGCATTTAAATCATGTTTGTGATATGACCGTTGACTTAATTGACTTCAAGTATTTCTCGAAAAGATGCGAATGATATGTCATAAAAATATATTTTTAAGATATAGTGGGTTGTTGCTCCATATTTTAGGAAACCCAAAAATGCATATTTTTATGCAAACTTCGAGGATTAACTTTCAAAGAAATGGAGCAAAGGCCCACTCATATTCAAAAAATAGTGTTACAGTCTGAGAAAATGACTCTTTTTGCCCTCTTTAGTGTGTGTACAATATTTCATAAGCAAATAATTTCAATCTTTGTGAGATTTTTGCAGATTGTAGAGATTTTACATAAAGTATATTTTAATGTTAGATGAATTATCAAGGAAAATTTTGATATACATGTAACTGAGATTTAATTTTTCACCTTCATGTTTGTCACACTATAGGCTTTTCGCTCGTCATGTTCACCCATCTTAATTCTTTGTTTTACGTCCCTGATAGGTAGGTTTTTCAAAATATCAATTTAAAAAAAATCCCACAAGTTTGTCAATTTTCAACTATTTTTCTACATTTTTTTTTAAAAGTTTAGACAACCGTATCTATTGGTCAAAAAAGGTAATTGAACGTCACATTTTTTTTTAAACCAAGTAAATTGTTTTAATTATATAATAAATTTAAAATTTAAAAAAATAACAATACACAGCAACTTTTTTCTCATTAATTAGTCAAAATTTTGTTTATTATTGAATGTGTTTTTAGATATATGTTTGTTTTTTTAGTTGGACTGGAGGATACCTTATAGAAACATTAAAGGATGTACAATTTATATGTAAATATAGATTACAAAGACCTTACTTGAATCTGCTCGTATAATTAATTTAAATAGTTTTATATTTTTCAGGCCAAAACGAGACGATGTTAATGTGTTCAGTATATGTTATCAGCCCTTTTCTACTCGAGAATGTATGAGGACAAAATATTTCTTGTTTGTTTGTAATGCAAGATAAAGGGAACACTCAAGATCTGCGCTTAAGGAGATAGTTCCTCAACCATAACAAGGATTTGGCTTTAAAAAGATAATTCTATACTTCATAATTGACTTCAAACAAAGGCACTTAACGTTATCATATTTTTCTTATATTAAAAAAAAAATTATCACCGTATATTACCTTTTTTATAAGGTATAGGTATAATTTGTTTTTAAAGTGTATAAGAAAAATTTGTAACTTCAAGTGCCTGTGGCTTCAAATGAATAGCACTGAAACACAAATCTCTAGGCTCACCTGTGTAACTTCTACACATAATTTATGTTACTGAATATTTAAAGTATATTTAGATTATTAAAATACCGACAAGAGTCGCTTGATAGATGTGGGAATCAAAACGTCAAATTTTTAATATATTTATTTATTTAGGTGTATGTAAGCCACATTCATTTGGAATTCGGAAGACACTTTAAACGCCAAAAAAAAAATCATTATATAATGTAACATTTTTGTCAGGTTTGGTACCATGAACATGCGCGCATCTGTTCATTATGAAGAGAGGCAGATCAAGAGAAATGTACAACAACTTCTAAAATAAGATTTTTTCATCATTACTGTCATCCTGTGTATTAATTCCATATCCGGTTTCCTTTACTTACGTGTTGTCGTTCTACACTGTTATAGATAAAAAAAAAAAAAAAAAAAAAAAAAGGGTAAAAATGTCACCCTTCGATTAGAAATAAGTTTTACTTGTTCAGGAAAGTCATGGAAGGAAAATAAAAACCTTCAAACACTAATAGGTCAGGTGAGGTAAAGAGTTAAGAAAAATATTTCCTCACGGAAATCAAAATATCATGGGTTTTATACTTGAAAAGTCTTTTGTATTGAAATTTATCATTTGTAAATAACATAGGACGCGGAAGAAGGAAGAAGTACTTAAAGAAAATAAAACATATTTTGATTATTTTTCACCTGAAAATTTTCACTTCAAGTATTCTTTTTTTCGAAATGAGAGGTAAGTTATTTATCTGCTTTCAGATATGGATATATCTTTATTTGATTTTATAAGATTTCAAGTAATAATCAAAATAAATGATTAGCTCTAATTCTTTTATTTCTGTGCCTATATTTTGAAGACGCTATGTGAAGAAATGGTTCTGTCTTTGAATATTCAAAGATATTTTCGTTTATATGATCGCCCTAAGAATGGTAACTTCCATGTTTTCTCGAGAGATAAGAGTTTAATTATGTTTGAAATAACTAAGGCCGAAAATGGCATTTTCTCTGACAAGTATTTTCTGATACTGATATATATGCCAAATTAAACGAACCACATTTTTGATCAACATCATTAATGAAAATATCAATAATCTTCCATTTTAGATCTGTTATGACAAAAGTATGGAAAGATCCTGCAAGGAAACTCCGGTTCCTCGACCTAGAACCAAAGGCATCGGTGGACGTCTTGGTCAGGGAAGAAAAGGTTCCCAGGAATCAGTATGTTCAAATTCCTTATATGTTTATACACATCGCCGCCGAGCGTCTGAGCCTTCCATCAAAAATGATGTTTTGGTCGAATCTCAGTCCCGAAAAGTCTTAAACACGCCACCTCCATGTCAACATCACCCAAATCACAAGTATGATCAGTATTGCTTTCATTGTGAAGTACCAGTTTGTTTCGAATGCGTTACCTCTGGTGAGCATGACGGACACGACGTTCAAAACGTCTCAATTATGTACGATTCCTTGCGGGAACTTATCACAAAAGATACACAAGAACTTGAAAATTTCATTTCGCCATTTTATGACACAGTAATGTCGGACATTGAAGTGACGCATAAAGTCGTAGCAAACAAACATCACGACAGGAAGAAAACAATATTGGAACTAAGGAAAGATCTAAGGAAGATGGTTGATGATATTACAGAAAGACTTTTTAAAGAAGAGGAGAAGATGGAAGCAGATGACATAAGCAGTCTTCAATCGCTGGAAAAGAAATTCCTTAAAATGCGAAATCGAGTTCGACTGACAATAGAAGAGAATCATAAAATCATGAACGATGCAAATTTTCCTAGACTTATAAATCATCTCTTCCGTTACACATCCAAAAATCAATTTTTTCGAGATGTACCTGAACGATTTGAAATGGTAGTCTCCGATTTCAATCCATCTACACCTAACGAAAACGATCTGTCAGAAAAGATCGGAAAACTGGGTCCCACCATAACCAGGCCAATCCAGAGACAGAGATTGCCAGCTTTAAGAAAAGTAGCTGACAAAAACCCTAAAACGATGGGCTCAACTCATTGTGTTCTTGATCGTGTTAAAACAGGATTCGTTCGAACTGCAAGAGTTTCTTCCTCTCCTCAAACAGATGAGTTTTATGTGTGTGGAGACAACAAAGTGATTAAGCATTTTCGTAAAAAAGAGTTATTGGAAGAAATTTCCACTTTGTGTCAGAATGAGCCTTTTGATCTGACGGTCAACAAAGATGGACACCTTGTTTACAGTGACTACGACGACGGGAGTGTAAACATAGTGAAGAATGGAAAGACAGAGCGCCTACTCAAGTTACTGGAATGGAGACCACAAGCCTTGTGCTGCACTTCTGCAAATGAGTTGCTTGTCACTATGAGAATGGAAGATCGTTCGCAGAGTAAGATAGTCCGTTATTCATGTTATTCAGAGTGTAAAGTAATGCAAGAAATCCAGTATAACGAAAGTCGAACACCCTTGTATTCAAATCCAGCCTTCATAGAAGAAAACAAAAACCTGGATATTATTGTCAGTGATTGGAGTACAAGAGCTATAGTTGTGGTGACAAAAATGGGGAAGTTCCACTTTTCCTACACTGGGAACTTGCAGGCTAACAGATACCGAACATTTAACCCGTACGGTGTGGCAACAGACAATTCATGTCATATTCTGATAGCGGACTTTGACAATAATGTAGTGCACATCATTGATAAGAGTGGACATTTTCTTCTTTACTTAGACAGTTGTCATTTGTACTATCCATGGGACCTCAGTGTGGACAGTAATGATATTCTGTATGTTGCTGAGTGCTATTCTAACGACGTGAAAAGAATCAAATATCTAAAATAATTATTTGTAAATTTATATTTTCTACGATAGACTCTATATTGCAAACATAAGAAATTTGATTCCTTTTAATTTTACAGATTTATTAATGATTAAAGATTTTCTTTGTGGCATTTAAAATGTTTGGAGGGAAGACCCGGAATTACATGTACATAAAGTTTCAGACTAATTTCTATCTACAAGTCTTTATTTTGATTTTCCAATTAGTTTCAGCTTTTCGTAGTTTCCATTGTGAATTTTTTATTTCTGGGATTACTGCTTTCATGAAAATAAGACAGAAAAATTGCTATTTTATAAAATAAAGTGAAAAGGGAAGCTTCTCTATTAAAGAGAGGGGGTGGCTAATTACGTAGTGTTCCATTGAGGTAGCCTTACTAAAAGAAATTATTCTTGATATTTTTATGCCTCCGTAACTTTGATTCGGGGACAGGGAGTTTTTGGTTTGTCCGTCTTTCTGACTGTCTGTCCAAAAAAACACTTTAACTTGGTCATAACTTTTGAAGGTTGGTCTTGGGGCTTTCATAGTTTACATACTTTACATTATACCTTTCTTTTGGTACCAACATTTATACCTCATGACCTCACTTTGAAAATCTTTATCATTGGCCATAACTTTGAATGATTAAAGCTAGGTCTTCATATTTGACAGGTGTATTTCTTGTGACAAAAAGATTTTATGGCAAAAAACATTTTATACTTCATAATCTAGGCCTTAAAGTTTGATCTACTTATGAAAAATTTTATCCTGGTCATAACTTCTGAACGGCTGGTGATATGGCTTCATAATTTCCCGAGTACTAGTATTCTCTTTCACAAAACTTTTCATTGGGTAACAACATGTTTTAACTCAGGGTCCTGATCAAGGAATTTGACAATGTCATACTTTTGAAAAAATCCATTCTCGGCCATGAGTTGCCATACAGAAGCATCAATGTTATACTAGTACTCTTTCTTTCTCGGAAAAGGATTTCCTTATTCTTATCAAAATTAAGATGATATCTAAAATATTTTGTGAAAAGTCAGCTGACTTTTCAAAAAAAAAAAAAATGAGGAAAATATTTAAGTCCAGAAACATTTGGAGACACTTACATATCAATATGTAGTTTAATACAATCTATATCGTAGGGAAGGAAAAAAAAGACATCACCCCTCTTTTTCCCCATGGAAAAAGTAAAAAAAAATATGCCCAACCAATTCCTTTTTTTCCAGAAATCAGTGTGATGAAATGAGAAAAAAAATAATTTTTTCAAAATTGGATGTGCAGTTACTGATAAAATAAAATTTAAAATGTTTTATTTCATCCGATGTCTGAAAATTTCATCTTGTTACTGATGTCATGGGCGGATCTAGATTGTGAGTCGGGGGATTCTGACACCCACCCCTGGAATTAGCAGAGTTATTAAAAGTATATACTTTAGCAAATAAAAATTGACTTAAGACCCCCACCCCATCCTCGAAAACGTGGACCCCACCATCAGCACCACGAAATAGATTTTTTTTTCTCGTTATGGGAAAAAGATAGTAATTTTTTTTTTTTTTTTTTTTTTTTTTTTTTTTTTGGCTTCTCAAGAAATTTTCTTGGTTTAATAGTTTGGGAATGGAATTTAATTTTTTTTTTTTTATTTTTTTTTTTTTTTTTTTTTTTTTTTTTTTTTGGTCATCAATAATTTCTGGGTAGGTTTTTTTTTTTTGAGTGGGGAGGAACCACCCCCCCCCCCGGAAAAAAAAATCCTGAATGTTTATTTTAATTGTTGATTCATCAAAGCCGTATTCACTTAATTAAATAGATTTTTTAATCTTGTTCTTTTAGGGGGAAAAAACTCAACATAAATATCTATCACCAAGACGCGTGCAAATTACAGTGAATGGGGTGAATCAAACGATTTTTTTCTCTTCCACAGATATGGTTGTTTTTATTCGGAACTTTAGTAAACAAAGGAATGTTATTTCATTGAAATTTTCAAAAGGACACCCTTTAACAGGTGTACAGATAATCGTACAGTTATTCCCCTTTGATACTGACTGGGAGTCCAAATTTTAATTAGAGGGAAAACACACGAGGCAAAGAAACTCTCATGACATACAACAAATCTTCATCATACAAATTGATTTAATACAAAATTGTAATTTGATTGATAATGTTGTCCCCCGCTTTCACTGAAAGTGAGGGATATTAATTTGGGTCTGTCTGTCCGTCCGTCCGTCAATATAGTTGTCTGTCTGTAACACTTTCGTTTCCACGCGATATCTCTAGAAGCCTTTGAGCTTTTGAGATGAAATTTTACCTAACAACTCCCTATGGCCTAAAGAAGACCCCTCTTGATTTTGAGGTCAAAAAGTCAAAGGTCAAGGTCGTAAATTCATACATTCTGTCTTTGTATAACACTTTCGTTTCCGGCCGATATCTCAAGAAGCTTCTGAGCTTTTGCAATGAAATTTTATACCATAGGGAGTTATTGTGTATGGTGACGTCTTTATATGAATGAAAAATGCTCAAACGGGACGTACAATTAATCAATCAATCTAAATAGGCCGAGAATACAATTAGCACGCAAGGATAAAACAGTCGTTTCAGAACATTTTCGTATGTATTTTTTAAGTTGCCTGTCGCCATTATAGAATGTTATTATGCACTGTCGCCAAAATCTTATTGACTTCTGTACAGCGTTTTAAATCCGTCCAAAAGGGCACCATTTCGGCAAATTGGTTTATGTTTGATTCCAAAATAATCATTGATTATAAATCTAGCAAATTGAGTAAAATTAAAATTTACATAAGTGTGATATTAGCTTATCTGAACACAAGTTATAACGAATGTGATCTCGCCATTTAAGAGTTTAACTTAAATAATCAATATCACATCAATACCTACACAAGCGTGGAAGAATTAAACTTAAAATTTCCATCTACTATTTGTGTTATCTGAGAAGAAATAAAATAATTTGTAAACAAACAGTAAAAAAAGATATGACAGCCAAAAGTTTTAGAAAAAGTTTAACTTCCGATATCATACTCCGGAATTAGGAATTACGAGAATATTTTGTTTAAAAAAGGATCATCGAAGATGACCTACAGAGGTATACACGCAGACTGATTCCTAAACAGAAGAACACAGCTCGGCAAAAAGATTGAAAAAGTTTTAAAATAGACTCAAAAGACAAAAATTTAAAACACATAGTAAAGACATACAGGGATTGTTCGATCTGCAAAAGTTTCTTGCTCTCCTCGGACAGAAGAGTTAAACATATGTCTGTGGTGTTTAAACATTTCCGTAAAAGGGAGGTTGTGGACGAAATTTCCACCTTGTGTGAAAACGAGCCTTTTGATCTGACGGTCAACAAAGATGGACACCTGCAGGCATGTTCACGAAACTTTCCTAAGATACGTCCTAAGATTGTTCCTAAGATATGACTTAGGAAGAAAGTTAGGAACATCCTACGATCAACTTATGACATATCATAAGATGAAACTCGACGGTATCTTAGGAACATCCTAAGCTAGGATATCCTAACATACAATGAACACTATTGTTTTTAAATACATATAAATCTGGGAGATATTTGCAGCCAAATAAACTTCTATATTACATAACAAAAATTTATACATTTACATGATGAATTCAGTATAATTTTAATGTTTACATCTTTAGAATTATAAAAGATATATTTAATACCCCAAGTAAGTTGCAACGAAACAAGCGATTTTTTTTTTTATCAAAGTGAAAGATTTAGTTTCATTTTTATTTTAAAAACGTTGTTTCAGCAATAATATCTAAAGTATGTTGTATAACTCAAAAGATAAAAAATAATCTTGATCGAATTCAGTAATTTACAACAATGAGGATTATCATATGACGTACACTATTATAGAAGTATGAATTATTTTTTGAAAAATAAACTGATAAAAAATATGAATTGAATTTTCCATGTACTAAAGTATTCAAACAGGGAAATGTTTCATTATTTTAAAGGCAATGCTTAATCCCCGAGTCATGGAATTCTCAACAGTTTTAATTGATGTAAATCAAAACAATATACCCTGATTTACTTATATGAAGGCGATAGGTAAAAATAAGAGAAAATTTTCACTTTTGGTCTCTTACACATAAAACGTGTATGAATGTTTTTATTTTTTATTTGGGAGAGGGGATGGGACTGACCCCTCATTATTTTTCCGAAAATAGTCTCTTACTGTAAATTTAATATGGATTTTTTTAAAGGCTTATCCCCCACTTTCTGTTGCAGTATGGACGGACCCCCCCCCCCACACACACACACACACACACACATTAAATGTAAGGTTTTTTTTTAGCGCGGACAGCTTTTTTTTTTAATGTCAAAGTTTTTCAGGAAATTTTATTTTTTGGCTAGTCAATTATATTTTTCTACCCCTCTCCCTAAAAGTCAATTATTTTCTCTGCCCCTTTCCCAATTTGAAAAGGGGTCTGACGTGCCTGCATTATGAATAAGAAGAGGAAGTGAAATTTTTCATGTGTAAATGCGAAAATTTCCTTAGATTGTTCATAAGAAATTTTCTAAGATTAGCCTAAGATTGTCTTAAGGTGTTTTTCAAAGCTACCTTAAGAGTATCCTAAACTAAGACGTCTTAAATCATTATGACAATGAAATACGCAAAGTTATAAACCATTGTCAGGAATCAGAGAGTGGTCATTTTTGCTATATAATGCTACACGTTATGTAAATCATAATAATGAAAATATTTAAAAGAGTAAAAATTAAAAAAAAAAAAAAAGAATTTAATTTTTTTTTTTAATCTATAAATATAAATGATATTTTTTTCAAAATGATCATCTTCATTCGACAATATAATATTGGTTGTAATTAAAATCAAATAGAGTTCCATTTGATCGTTCAGAATTCTTGAACCACGAAAAGCGCGCCAATTTTCTACGTGGAACTCTTATTCATTGACAATTTCTGGTTCGACAAGAAAACACCCAGCAGTATGAGTCGAAAGAGGAGTCCTAATTTTTCTCAAATTGAAATCGAAATACTGCT